CATAATTTGAATTTGAATTTATTAGTTTGAAACTGAATTCCAATAAACTTGAAATTGAATATAATATTATTAAATCTGATTGAGAACTGAATTTGAATTGAGATAACTGAAAGTGAAAGTACATGAAAGTGAATTTTTAGTGAGGCTCAAATACAGTTTTCAGTTGCAAGTGAATTCAGATTCAAACATAACGTAAAAGGATGGGAATAATGTAAAGAGAATGGGCTTTTGAAGATCCAATCATACGACAATAAGATTATTTACTTCAGTATTTTGAATAATGTATGATATACAGTTTATGCACTCAGAGAAAAGCTTGCAATGTGACTTCCTCGTGAAAGCAGCCCACCTTCTCTCTCTTTTTTTCAATTCAAATTCAGTTTTTTAATGCAATTATTCAAGTTGAGCAATTCAGATTCAGTTCTAAATGATTCAAATTCAGTTTCTACTGGCACAAATATCAGCCTATAGTGCAGCAGCTATTCACATTTGTAAAATAAAGAAGACAGAAAATAGACGACTTCTAAATAATGGAGCACTGAAATGCTGAGATATGATGCATACAGCATACACCCACATATTTAAACACACACATACCCAGTGTAACTGACATACCAAATTGCATGCATGCTAATTAATGTGTGTCACTGAAAGGTTAAGTACAATGTATCACATCTCACATCTTTTTCACTTTTTTTCTTTTGAATTTATCAACCATCATCCAAATTGTATATGCACAGAAATACATTCAATCATACATGGATGCTGCTAATGCACATAAACCTGCACGCAACCTACACAGATTCTTTCAGCTCTGACAAAGCCCTTCAAGGATTCGGGGGAAGCTTTTGTGTCCAAAGCCTTGTTTCCCTCAGAGGAGAGCGCGCAGGACGAGTGTATTAACAGTTTATTATGCAGATGCTGTCACTAAGCACTCACATGCAATGCAAATGCACATACACACGTGCACACAAACTTATTTCATTTCATTTGTGCATAATTCTGTACATGAAAGGGATTTCTGCAGCACTAACATTGTGCATACATCAACAAGCACGTAACTGGGTGCAACAAATAAAATGAATAATGCACACCTTGAAGAAATCGCTCCTCTTATGACTGTATACAAGCCTTTGAAGTCAATATTGGGGAAACAGTTTACGTCTATAACTAAGCTCTAGTGGATTTAGAAGAAAAGAAAAGCTCTGAACCTGGGTCACTAGTGATTGCAAAGGGTTAACTTGCTCCAGTTAAATAAGGAAATAGGAGGGGACTGGCACTCTAACGTCACAACTGAAAGAGAAACTAAAAAAGGAGGAAAAGAGCTGCATGTTTCCAGGGTCTTTTACAGATCTGAAAGATTTAAAAACCTCCCCACCAGGTAAAGTTACAGTTTATCATGTAGCAGTCTTTGTCAATAGAGTTCATCTCAATGATTTCAAACTCAGACAACAATAGATCTGAATTGACTTCATACTGCTCTAACTTTTTTTCATTATTTCACCTTAACTTTCTAGACATGGCTTGCGCTAGTAGTCTAATAGCCGAGGAAAACTTTCTTTGCTCCATCTGTCTGGATGTGTTTGCTAAACCTGTGTCGATTCCCTGCGGGCACAACTTCTGCTTTGATTGTATCACACACTACTGGGACACTAATAAGACTGTAGCCCTATGCCCACTGTGTAAAGAGGAATTCTACCAAAGACCAACACTTCGGGTTAACATTTTTATTGCTGAGATGGCGGCAAAGTTCAAGAAATCTATTCAAAAGCCATTTTGTCCTAACCCTGAACAAGCAGGAAATGGAAATGTGCTCTGTGGTATCTGTACTGGGCTAAAGGTCACAGCCGTCAAGTCCTGCTTAGTGTGTTTCATGTCTTACTGTGAAACACATCTGGAGCCTCATCAGAGAATATCAGCCTTGAAGAAGCACAAGCTGATCAACCCGGTTGAGAACCTGGAGAGCAGGATATGCAATAAGCATGACGAGCCTTTGGAGCTGTTTTGCAGGATGGATCAAATGTTTGTATGTGAGTCCTGTAAAGACAGTGACCATAAAACCCACAAGATAGTGAGTCTGGAGGAGGAGGCTCAAATGAGGAAGGCCCAGCTGGGAAAAGAAAGGCAAGACATGGATCAGATGGTTGAGGTGCGTCAGCGGAAAATTCACGAGATTCAAGGTTCAGTGGAGGCTAGCAGAAATAATGCAGCGGAGGCGCTGTCATACAGCATGCATGTGATGACTGCTGTGGTGGACTACATTAAGAGAAGCCAGGCTGAGCTGACTAAGGTAATTCAGATGCAGCAGGAAAAAACTGATACAGAGACAGAATCCTTCATTAAAGAACTGGAGGGAGAAATTATGCAAATAAAGCAGAACAACTTGAAGCTTAATCAGGTCTTACTCAACAATGACGCCTTCGTTTTTCTTGAGAATTTCCTTTCTCTCACCATCACTCCACCCAAGGTAAAGGACTGGTCCAATGTGACTTTAAACAGTGACCAGTTTGCCGTGCAGGAAGCCTTGACCAAGCTGGAGACAACAGTGACGAGGGAAATCAAGATGCTCTGCGATCCCGACTTGAAAGAAATGCAGCGGCATGCTGTGGATCTGACTCTGGATCCTGACACAGCAAACCCTTGTCTTAATGTTTCTGAGGATGGGAAACAAGTAACGCATGCAGACAGGAAGAGGAATCTCCCAAACAAACCACAGAGGTTTGATCATGTCCTTAATGTCCTCGCAAAGGAGGTTTTCTCCTCAGGAAAGTCTTACTACGAGGTCCAGGTTAAAGACAAGACACAGTGGGATTTAGGAGTTGCGAACCGGTCGATCAACAGGAAGGGCGATATAAGACTCAGCCCTAAGAACGGATATTGGACTATTTGGCTGAGAAAAGGAAATGAGTTCACAGCCAATGCCGGCCCTGCGATTAACCTCCATGTAAGGGAGACACCTCAAAAGGTTGGGGTGTTTGTTGATTATGAGGCAGGTCAAGTTTCCTTCTATGACGTGGACGCCAGGGCTTGCATCTTCTCCTTCACCGGATGTAACTTCACGGAGGAGCTCTTTCCGTTCTTCAGCCCCTGTTCTGATGATGGCGGCAAAAATTCAGCCCCCTTGATCCTTACTCCTGTCAAATACAACAGCTGAGCTTGTGCTGTTTTGGGTTTGTGAAAGACAATGAGACAGCACAAGGAAGAGAGATCTCAATAGTAGCACGCCGAAATGTTTTTAGTGTTTCTAGTGTGTCATTCTGTTTCTCCCATCCATCAGTGTCAGTGCTGTGTGCCACTATGTGTCGCCTGTCACTGTAGATCTCAGAGTCCCCATGCAGCCATCAGGACATCAATACACACACGCCCCTGTGGGACACAGTCATACACTTCCCTAAATCTGTATTATTTGTCTTTTTAGTTATCCACCAATG